AAGTATATCTTGGTCTGTTTGTTAGAGAAATATATCCCAAAGGAAAAACAAGCAGGAGTTACATGTAATATAGAAATAAAATTAAATACAGTGAAAGAATAGAATGTAGCTCTGAAGGTGAAAGTTAAAAAAGACTTGCAGAAAGTGGTCACTTTTCTATTTGTAGAAATGCTGCAATTCTTTCCTTAGATTTCTGGTTGATTTCACAGGTGTTCAGAATGATTTGAAAGCTCTCTGGCTGACTTTCTGGGATCAGACAAAACTATGTTCTCCTCTTGCTCTGCCATCTCTGACTCAAGTGGCTTTCATTTTCTTCCTGCATTTTCTAGTTATAAAATCTATCATTCATACAAAAATATATGTCTGACTTAATGAAGAATAAAATGAACAATTTCACTACTCAGATTTTTAAAAAAGTCTTTCCGATGTCTCTGAAGCTCCCACCTGGCTTCCTTTCTGCTTTATTTGCTGAGTATTTAAGTTTTGCTCTGATTCGTCAAAACTTTTCTGTCATTTAACTTTGTTTCTCTGCATTGTTTTGCATCTTTCACTTTCCTAAGAGTGTGCTAGCCAAGGTATTAGATTTTTGTTTAAAACAGTCTCATAGGCCATCATCATACATTATCTCCCTGCTGATTTCCTTTCTTCTAAAGCTCTGCCTCTTCCTTCTTCCTCTGAACTCAAACTTTAAATATTTTTCTTTCCTGTTTCTCTTTCTGTTTTGAATGCTGTCCTTTGATGTTTTTTGTCTGTATTTTCTTTTCTTCTTGTAGACTGTGGTAGGTGGGTACCAAAATGTATTTTTGCGTCTTTTTAAAACATTAATAGATGGGGATGCTTTTCTTCCTCACCGTGGATTACTAGTCTCTACTACCTAATAATAGATTAATTTTTATATTCACATACTGAAAATAGATATTAATAATAACTTACAAGAACTCTTAATATAGTTACCCTGTTAACTCTTTAACTGCTGTATGTGTCATAAAAATCTTTTTCATATTTTTTTTACTTAGCAATATAATTTAGTTGGTATTCTCTCAAACAATGTGAGATTGGAACAAATGAGATATCATAATTATGGATTTGTTTATATGATAGAACATATTATCTATTTAAATAAGTATTAAATATTTCTTCTTAAAGGACCTGATTCACTCATTTTATACCTTCTGCAGACTTAAGAACCTCTTAAACATGATAAGAAGGATGTTAAGTAAATATGAAAATGGAGAGCCTCCTTTCTGTGGAGATATAAAAACCAGTCAAACGGAAATGGATATTCAGATTAATATGCTAAAACAGAAGGTAATTTTTAATTAGTTTTGGGACTCTAAAATCATTGGGAAATAAATTCCTCTGTGCTTTGAGCAGTAAAATACCGATTTTTCTATTAATCTTACATACTTGATACATATTTTTGGTAATAACTTTATTGAGATATAATGAACATAAGATGCATATTCAAAGACTACCACAATCCATATTAGAACATTTTGTCACCGTAAAAATAAACCCTATGCCCTTTAACTGTCACCTCATGCTAGTTTCCCCCTCCCTATTCTTCTTAGCCATAGGTAGTCACTATTCTACTCTCTGTCTCTATCGATTTGCTGCTGATTTTGGACATGTCATCTCAATGGAATCACCAAATATTTTATCCTTTGTGACTGCCTTCTTTGGATTAGCATGTTTTTAGATTTATTTTGTGCCATGTGTCAGAGAGCTTTATTATTTTTTTATTTCTGAATACTATCCCACCGTACGGACAGCCCACATTTTATTTATGTATTTATCATATGGTGGACATTTGGGCTGTTACACTTTTTGGCTATTGTTAATAATGCTGTTGTGAATACACGTGTACAAGCTTTTGCGTGAACATTTCGTTTCTCTTGGGTATATACTTATAAATGGAATTGTTAGTTCATATGTTAAAGGACCTTTAACATTTTTGGTTTAAACCTTTTGAGGAACTGCCAGACTATTTTCCAAACTGGCTGCACCATTTTACATTTACGTCACCAGTGTTTGAGGATTCTCATTTTCCCTGATTCTTGTCAATGTTTGTCATTATCTGTTGTTTTTGTTATAGCTATCCTATTGGGTATAAAATGACATGTTGTAGGGGTATTTTCATTTGCTTCAAATTTTTATTTGAATTCTCGTTAGTTGCCATATCATGTAATATTGGTGTCAGGAGTAGAATTTAGTGATTCCTCGCTTAAATACCCAGTGCTCATCAGTACAAGTGCCTTCCTTAATACCAATCACTCTTCTAGCCCCCCCCCCCGCCCACCTCAACAGCAACACTTAGTTTATTCTCTATGGTTGAGAGTCTCTTACGGTTTGCTTCTCTTTCTCTCCTTTTTCCCCCCCTTCCCCTATGTTCATCTGTTGTTTTGTTTTGTTTTTTAATCCCACATAGGAGTGAAATCATATGGTATTTGTCTTTCTCTGACTTATTTCACTTAGCATAATACACTTGTTGAGTTCCATCTGTCTTGTGGTTTTAATTTGCATATTTCTTGGAACTGGTGATGTTGAACATCTCACCTTTATATGTGGTCATTATTCATTTCTATATCTTGCTTAAAGAACTAATCATTTCTTTTGCCCATTTTTATATTGGATTGTCTTTTCATTATTGTAAGAGTTCTATCTATATCCTAACTACAGACCCCTTATCAGGGATATGATTTTCAAATATTTTATTCATCACCTTGCCTTTTCACTTTTTCTTGATGGTTACATTTGAAGCATAGAAGTTTTTATTTTTTAAATTTTGATGAAATACTTAATCTGTTTCTGTCTTTTGATGCCATATTTAAGAAACTGTTGCCAAAAGCAATCACAAACATACACACCTGTTTTTGCTGAGTTTTATAATTTTAGTTCTTAATATTTCATGTTAAGTTTGTACATATGTTATGAGGTAGAGGTCTAATTTTTTCACTTTGTGTGTGGATATCCATTTGTCTCAGTACCATTTGTTAAAAAGACTATTCTTACTCCATTTAAGTGTCTCGACACCCTTGTTGAAAATCAATCCACCATAATTTGAGAGTTTATTTTTATATTCTGAATTCTAATACATCGACCTATATATGTCTATCCTTACGCCACTACCAAATCAAATTTTATGAGAATGCTTTCCTAGTCCTCTTGCAAATTACCACTCATTTATGTAATAATAAAAAGTCAATGTAGTAGGACCTAACGTTACTCCTGTAAAGACTTCTACTTTTTGAAGGAGCCTTTTGCCAGCTTATGCCTTGCTGACTACCTGACACAATGAGAAGCCAGGCTCAGAAAGATAGAGTCCCGTTTCCCTCCTCCAGTAATACCGGTAGTTTCTCACTCAGTGCCTCCCGCATCCATTTCCATCAAATCTTGGTTGTAGGATCCACTGTCTACTATTTACTTCGTTGTGTTTTATTAACTTGTTATAATGCATAGACCCATCCATAGATTTCACCATCTAGGATATAAAAGATTAACTCTGGGCTATCAGCCTTCCTGTTTGGAAGTCTTGCTAATCCATCATCTTAAAGTTCACAATTAGATACTCTTTTGACCTGGTTCTTGTGCATACAACACTGGCGCCGATCCCGTTCTTGGCACAGATCCTACATTCTGGGAAAACACAGTTGCCTGTATCCATCTTCTTTTACTGAAATAGAAAGATATGCATAGCTGTAGTTTGATAGGTCAATACATAATTAATGGAATAAACATTTCATTACATTATGTCAAGAATACACCTGTAAAATATCCTGTTGCATTTAATTGAATTATCAGGGAAGCCCGGGTGCCTCAGTGGTTTGGCGCTGCCTTCAGCCCAGGGCGTGATCCTGGAGACCCAGGATTGAGTCCCATGTCAGGCTCCTTTCATGGAGCCTGCTTCTCTTGCTGCCTGTGTCTCTGCTTCTGTCTCTCTCTGTGTCTCTCATGAATAAATAAATTAAATATTTTTTAAAATAATCAAATTATCAGAGACCAATAGTAGGCGAACAATTTGAATCACAAAAAAATTTTCAAAGTGAACCTGTATGATATGGGGAAGCATTCTAGTACGATACATAAAGATGAGATAGTCTTTCTTACCTCCCCTGAAAAATAAGCTTGCAGTAAGATAAAGGAGAAATTATATTTAAGTGTGCCAAAGGACAATACATTTGTTTCGCTAACGAAAAGATTAGAAATTATTCCATAATGTTCTCCTTATTTCATCACTGATGAAGGGAGAATGAAGATTATTAATTTAAAAGCACTCAGTGCTGCCTTTCTTTTAGAATTGCAGTTAATTGAAATCAGATAAAAGGTTCCGTTTTGCTTATTAAACTTTTACTAGTTGTTCAGCTATTATACTTCAAATCATATGTCTCTCTGCTTGCCAGTCTTTTTTCTCCCCTAACTTGAGGGGAAATTTAAAAGAGGAGTTCTTGCCTAGTTTTAATAATTTGTAATTGAAGGGATTCTTTAGAAAAACGTCTTAGAGAAAGGAAGATGGTGGCAGGGTAGGAGGAGCCTAGACTCACCTCGTCCCACTAATACAACTAGATACCTATCAACTCGTCCTACATACCCCAGAAATCTACCTGAATACTGACAGAACAAAGGCCACAACTAAAGAGAGAGAAGAGGCCACTTCGGAGAAAGTCGGTAGTACAGAGACATAGTTTAGAAGAGAAAGAGATCCTATCTGCAGCAGATGGGAGGGAGTAGTGGTCCCAGGGAAGGGCAGGAGAGAAGAACACCTGGGAATGCACATAGCCACTGGCTTGGAAAAGGAGAGTGGCTGAATTTCCTCAGTTCTTGCAACTACAGGGGGCTTAAAGCCTGGAATTTTAAAGGTTATTGGGCTTGGCTGGGGTAGAATCTGTAGGGCACTATGCTTGGAGAGAGGCACACAGCATGGAACCAGCTGGCTGGTGCCATTTCCCTCCCCTGGCCCTGAGCACAAACACAGAGCCACCTGTGGGAATCAGTGCCACCTGACACCAGCTGCCTAACTTGCTTACACCAACCACCACCCGTTTGTACTCCAGGGGAACTGCCCTTTTCGATCACGCTTGCCTCAGTTCCAGCACAGCAAGCCCTTCCCCCAGAAGACCAGTACAAACCCCTGCCCGACACCATGTGTCCCGACCAGAGTTTTGCAGGGTCTCAGTTCCAGTGGAGTGTGACAGGTCTCATTTTGCAAGCTAGTTAAAACCTGCTAGATTCAGGCCAAGTACCAAACACTGCCCGCAGCAGATACTGAGAGCCTATCTCTCAGATGACTGGCCTGAGGGATACAGGAGCCAGAACCAAGTAGCAGAGTGCATGCCGCATACCCTGGAGACCCTCCCTGAAGCACCAGGCCCTGGGCACTACGGGACCATTTTCAGTGGTCCATTACTTTCAGGAACAAGTGACATAACTGGCTTTTCTAACCCAGAGAAACTGGCAGAGACCTAGACAAAATGAGAAGACAGAGGAATTTATCTCAAATGAAAGAACAGGATAATGCCACAGGGCCAGAGATCTAAGTGAGAGAGATAGAAGTAACATGCCTGGTGGAGGATTTAAAGCAGTGACCATAAGGATGTTCAGTGGACTTGAGTAAAGAATGGTGGAAGACATCAGTGAGACCCTTACAACAGAGATAAAAGAGTTAAAAAAGAATCTGAGATGAAGAGTTCAATAAATGAAATTAGAATACAGATCTGGAATATTCTCTACACTAGATCATATATTAGCCACAAAACAGGCCTTAAGAAGTATAAAAAGATTGAAGTCCTACCATGCACCTTTCCTGACCACAATACTATGAAACTAGAAGTGGACTACAAAAAAAACCGTCTGAAAAGACCACAAATACATGGAGGTGAAATAACATCCTACTATCAATGTGTGGGCCAACCAGGAAATAAATGAAGAAATTTCAAAATACATGGAAACAAATGAAAATGAAAATTGTCCAAAACCTTTGAGATGCAGCCAAAGTGATTCTAAGAGGAAAGTATATATAGCAATACAGGCCTACCTCAAGAAGCAAAAAAAAAATCTCGAAACAACCTAACCTTACAAAAGAAGCTAGAAAAAGAACAACAAATGAACCTAAAGCCAGCAGAAGGAAGAAGATAATAAAAATTAGAGGAAAAATAGTGGTCCTGGGTGGCTGAGTTGGTTAACTGGCCAACTCTTGATTTTGGCTAAGGTCACGTTTTCAGGGTCCTGGGATTGAGGCCTGCTTCAGCCTCCAACCTCAGTCTACTGGAGGATTCTCTCTCCCTTTTCCTTTGCCCCTGCCCCCCTCCGCCCCAATAAATAAATCTTTAAAAAATATTAGAGTGGAAATAAATGATACAGAAACTAAACACAAATAAAAGTAGAACAGATCAACAGTAGCTGGTTCTTTGAAAAATTTAATAAAATTGATAAGGCTCTAGCCATAGTTCTCAAAAAGAAAAGGGAAAGGACCCAAATAAAATCACAAATGACAGAGGTAACCAACTGCAGAAATCCAAACAATTATAAGAGAATATTATGAAAAATATATGTCAACAAATTGGACAACCTAGAAGAAATGGATAAGTTCCTAGAAATATATAAATTACCAAAACTGAAGCAGGAAGAAAGTAGAACAGGATGCTAACCAGCCAAGAAATTGAATCACTCATCCAAAAACTTGGAACAAACATAAGTCCAGGACCAGATGGCTTCAGAGGCAAATTCTACCAAGCATTTAAAGAAAGAGTTAGTATGCATTCTTCTCAAACTGTCCCAAAAAACAGAAGAGGAAGGAAAACTTCCAATTTCATTTGATGAGGCCAGCATTACCCTGATACCAAGACCAGATAAAGACACCACAAAGAGAATTACAGGCCAATTTTCTAGTGCAAAAATCCTTAACAAAATAGTAGCAAACTGAATCTAACAATACATTAAGAAAATCACCGCCATGATCAAATGGGATTTATTCCTGGGTTACACGGGTGATTCAGTATCTGCCAATCAATCAGTGTGATGCACCCTATTAATAAAAGAAAGGAGAAGAATCATCATCATTTCCATAGATGTAGGAAAAGCATTTGATGAAGTACAATATCCAGGCATGATAAAAACCCTCCACAAAGAAGGTTTAAGAGGGAACATACCTCAACATAATAAAGGGAATATATGAAAAAATGCACAGATAATGTCCTCCTAAATGAGGAAAAACCAAGAGAAAAAGTTCATGTCTGGTGATGTTGATGCTGGCTGTTGCCTAGATTTATAGATAGGGTAGGCAGCCAAAATGCTTATACTGGCACACCTGGACTCTCTTTGTGGCCTGAGCCTCCTCACAAGAGGAGGGGCTAAATTCTAAGTAAGCAGGCTAAGATACAGAACAGGGCAGAAGCTGTGTTGCCTTTCGTAGCCTAGCCTTGGAATACACACAACATCACATTCACCATATTGTGTTCGTTAGTAGCAAGTCACTAAGGTTAGCCCAGAGTCTTTTTGTTTTGTTTTAATGGAATACTGGAACACCTATGAACACATGAAGGACGCAATTTTTAGTGCAATTTACCCACCGGCCACAGTGTTCTGTATTCCTTTCACATGAAAAATACACTCACCTCCTCCCAGTACCTCCCACAAATCTCAGTTATCATGGCATCGGGTTCAGGAGGGAGTCCAAGATCTTGCCATCTTAATCAGGTGCAGGGGGGTAAGGTGCCAGGGTTATGTTGTCTAAATTTTAGTCCCTTGAGTGCAGGTTCTCTCAATAGGAATGAAGACTTGAGAATTAAAGAGAACAGTTATCTACTATTGAAAACACAACATTCTGGTAACTTGCTAAAGAGTCTTCCATTCAGAAAGAAGATGGAAATCACATTAGTCCATAGCAGGTTTGAAATGCAGCCTGATGCATGCTGTCCGTTTTTCAGTCAGGCTTAGTCTGAACCATGGAAATTTTTCTCCATGGCTCTTTGCTGTCTATCCTCTCTGAGCTCTTGGTTCTGTCCTTAAAGAAATGACCTGTGTTTGCAGCTGTGTTTTCAGCCTGCTGCCTCCCTGTGGGGACTTCGAAGACCCAAAGGCCTATGTTCAGTCTGTGCTGTCTAGGTCTCTTTTAGTCCAAGCTCGCAAACAGTGTTTTTGATGCTATAATTTTCTTAACTTCTTGAGTTTTTCTTTGAAAATCAATGGATTGATTTTATGTCAGTAGAAAAGCCACTCTCCCGGGTCTTTTTGAGATAAACTTTTCAACTGGGCTCTCCTGTGAAGCTCATACTCTTAAGATCCTTAAAGAAAGAAATTTGAGGCATACCTGAAATCCTTCTGAGGTCTTAACAAAAGGTTTTATAATCTTGGCTTCATCCATAGGCCATGTTTTCCCGGATTTGCTCTTGACCCAGAATGCATGTCTTTATTTTAGCATTATTTGACAATTCAGCATATGGAAAGGCTATAAATGTGGAAAAAATATTTGAACCCAGTTAGTCCGGGTCTTTCATACTGCATAGACCTTGTTTAGTTTATCTTTTGTGTCCGTTTTACTTTCAAGTGGTTTGTGGCGCGAGTTCCTTTTCCTCTAGTGTCATTTTCCTCACTTGCCTGGAACCTTTGCTGTCAGCCTCTTCAAGGGCCATCAGGTTTCCATTAACAGTCTGTTGGAAGCCCTTTTGGTTTTCATTCTTTCTCTTCCCTACATCCTTTCAGTTTCTACCTACCTCTCGGTTCAAAGGAGGTTCAGGTTTAAATTTCTTAATGGCAGCACCCCAAGTTTAATACCAGTATCTGTGCCAGTTATGTATTGCGGCATAATAAACCACCTCAAAACCTAGTTGCTCAAAACAGCATTTATTTGGTTCACAAGTGTTTAGTTTAGGCAAAGCTGAGTAAGGCCAACTCATTTCTTCTTCATTTGATGTCAGCTGAGATGACTGGAAGCTGGGGACTAGAATCATCTAAAATCATGTTCATGCAAATGTTTGGCTGTTGAGGCTGGCTTTTGGCAAGGACGTTAGCTGGGTCAGTCTCAGCTGAAATGTCTACATGAAGACACACCAGGTGGCCTGAGCTTCCCCACAGCAGCTAGATTCTAAGGGTTGGTTTCCCTAGAAGAATGTCAATGGAAGCTGTATCACATTCTTTAACCTAGCCTTAAAAATCGCACAGCAGTTCTGACGAATTCTATTCACTGGAAACCAGTTACTAAGGTCAGCACATTTTAAGGGGAGGGATTATCATGGGAGAAGTGTCAAAGAATTTATAAAACCACCACATCCACTCACCCTGTCTCATCAATCATATCCAGAAGAAAGAAATTCTTCCCAACTCAGCATCACTGAAACTCTGTCAGGTTTTTCGGCGGTTGTTTTTGGTGCTTAGTATGTTCCCTTGTTTTGTGGGAAGTAACAGAGGATTATAAGATAGTACTATTCAATTAGGTGGGGGGTTTTTGTCCAAAAGTTTATGGTTCATCTCACTAAGTTTTTATACTGAGAGGTGTGGTTTCTTAATTCTGAGAATCATTTCTCCTGGGAATGCAATTCAAATTAATGTAAATCATTTGTAATTCAGAAAAAGGCTTGTGGCATTAAAATCAGTATTTATAGATTCAATAATTAGAGTCTTATTTTCAAAGTCTTCTGTTAGGAAGCATTTATTGGTTCAGACCTACATAAGACAATATGATATTACTAAAACTTCTTAAAAATTAATGGGAGTATTCATTGGGACACCCGAGTGGCTCAGTGGTTTGAGTATCTGTCTTTGGTTCGGGGCATGATCCTAGGGTCTTGGGATTGAGTACTTCATCGGGCTCCCTGTGGAGTTTGTCCCTCTGCCTATATCTCTGCCTCTCTCTATGTGTCTCATGAATAAATAATTTTTAAAAATTATGGTGTGTTAGGATGGGGAAAGGGGCAAGAGACTTTTCTTTCTTAATATTTTATTTGAATTCAATTTGCCTATATAAGAGACTTTACGCTAAGAGGTGACTTACAGTTATTTTATGGAGGAAAGATCTGAAGCAGTCATAGAAAAATAAAAGCATAAAATGAAGTACAAATGTTGTGTGGCAAAGACAATGATAGCAGAGATCTTTTTAAGTAACTCCTAGTGGTTTTAACTTTGTTCTTAATTTTCTAAGTGCTTCGGGGTTCCACATTCTAAGACTCTACTACAATATAGATTATACTTAATTGCAAATGAATTCATTTTAAAATGGGAGCACCTGGCTGACTCAGTCAGTAGAGCATATTACTCTTCTTGATCTTGGTGTTACGAATTTGAGCCTACGGTTCAGTGCAGAGACTTAAAAATAAAATGTTTTTTAAAATGTTGGTTATAGTTTTATTAGTTAAACTAATTTCACTCCATTTCCAAACTGTATTGTTCTATTCATGCAGATTGGTGATCTTAGAGCAAGACTGGAAACTGAATCTTCAAGATGTGTACACCTGGATGCAAAAAATCAAGTTCTTCAACAGGAGCTATTATCTATGAAAGCAACAGAGAGGAAATGTGAAAAACTAAAACAGATGAAAAAGAAGTTGGAACAAAAAGTAGTAAACCTCAGAAGTCATGTAGAAGTCAATGTGCTGGAACACAGTCAAGTAGAAAAGTCTAAATGGGAGATTAAACAGGAGGTTGACCATAGAGTAAGACTGATTGTAGAAGAAAAAATAAAAGAAGTCAATCGATTTTTACGGGTAAATTTACTGATCTGTGATATACTTTCATTTATTTCACTACAAATTACACTTTGGTTATATGCGTTGTGTATGTTTCCTCTGCTTCCTTACAGCAATCTGTTTGGTAGATTTCTGGAGGCATTCGTTCCTCCCTGTAAAGATTTCAGTTTTCATCATTATTCTCACTTAACTGATCTTTCAGAATGATTCTCAGGAGAGAATCATTTTATTTTTATGACCAGTTTGTATGAAACAGGACTATTTTTTTAAGATTTTATGTATGTATTCAGGAGATACACAGAGAGAGGGAGAGAGAAGCAGAGACACAGGCAGAGGGAGAAGCAGGCTCCATGCAGGGAGCCTGATGTGGGACCTGATCCCGGGACTCCAGGATCACATCCTGGGCTGAAGGCAGCGCTGGCGCCCTGGGCCGCAGGCAGGTGCTAAACTGCTGAGCCACCCAGGGATCCCCTGAAACAAGCCACCCAGGGATCCCCTGAAACAAGACTATTAAGAGGAAAAGAAAAAAAATTGTGATTTAAAACTTTTACCAAATAAATAAATAAATAAATAAAAATTTTACCATGGAGTGTCTGGGTGGCTCAGTTGGTTAAGCAGCAGACTCTTGATCTCAGCTCAGGTCTTGGTCTCAGGTTTGTGAAATCAAGCCCTGCATTGGGCTCCATGTTCCATTCCTGGGTTATTCTTCCTTTTGGAGGATTTCATTTATTTATTTATTCATTTATTCATTCATTCATTCATTCATTCATTCATTCATTCATTCATTCATTTATTTATTTAGCATGAGCAGGGGGATCGGCACAGGGGGAGAGAGAGAGAGACAGAGAATCCGGGGTAGACTCCATACTGGGTGCGACAAAGGGTTTGGCCTCAGGACCCCTGACTGAGAACATGCTCTGAGCAGAAATCAAGAAACGGGTTATTCTCAAGTTGTATTATGCACTTTTTAAAATTTTTAATTGATTCTCTTGTTCTTTGAAGTATCAGATTGCATGAGTACTAATATAAGAATGATTAAACTTTATCATTCAGATTTAATTCAGATGACATTAATGATAAATATTTTACACTTCAGCTTTTTTTTCACATTTAAAATTGCTCTCTGAATCATTGACTCCCAACTAAAGGAAAGAAATATACTATAATTACTCAAGTTTTAGCTGTTTTAAAACTGTGCTTTTAATTTGCTTTAGATACAAGCAGCATATGAAGAAAAGTTAGAACAGTTTAGAGAAAGTCATGATGCTTCAAAAAGAAGTCAAATGGCACTCAGAATTGAAGAGCTGGAATCTGAACTTCAATCCAAAATAAGAAATTCTCAGGAACTTGAAATTGAATTGGAAAAGTACAGGCAACTCTACCTACAAGAATCAAAAATGCGAATGTCATTGACAGAACTGAGCAAGTAAGTTGAAACCGAATCAATGAAAATAGATTTAGCTTATTAATTTGCCTCTAAAGCATAATTTTTATGGAGATGGGTTCATGAGATGAGTAGGAAGTGAAAGCCAACTGGATAGTATAGTTTTGGAAAATAACGTTTGTAAATAAACTTACCATTTTATGTTCATCCAGGATAGTTTGCCTCTCTCCTCCTTTTTCTTTTTTCTTTTTTTTTTTCTGGTTTTATATGACTTTACTTTTTCCCGTTAATATTTTCAGTTACTTTATCTTGTTGTCTTTACAAACTAATTGTTTAAAACTTTATAATTTAGACAGCGTATTTTTTAAAAGTTGATGATATATTTTATTTAACACAATACGTCAAAAAATATCCTTTCAACTTGTGATCAATATAAAATTATTACTGAGATATTTCAGATTTTTTTTCATTCGAAGTCTTAGAAATCCAGCATGTATTTTACAATTATGGTATATTTCAATTAGAACACTAAATTTTCATTGGGAATACATATCTATATTTAAACTTCATAAAATTTATAGTGGAAAAAGCAGATTCACATACCTGCATGTTTCCAACCCTACTTAAAAGTTTTTTTTTTTATTTTTTTTTTATTGGAGTTCAATTTGCCAACATTTAGCATAACACCCAGTGCTCATCCAGCCAAGTGCCCCCCTCAGTGCCCATCACCCAGTCACCCCAACCCCCCGCCCACCTCCCCTTCCACTACCCCTTGTTGGTTTCCCAGAGTTAGGTGTCTCTCATGTTTTGTCCCCTCACTGGTATTTTCACTCTTATTTTCTCTCCTTTCCCTTTATTCCCTTTCACTAATTTTTATATTCCCCAAATGAATGAGACCACATAATGTTTTTGTCCTTCTCCAATTGACACGTTTCACTCAGCATAATACCCTCCAGTTCCATCCACGTTGAAGCAAATGGTGGGTATTTGTCATTTCTAATGGCTGAGTAATATTCTGTTGTATACATAGACCACATCATCTTTATCCAGTCATCTTTCGATGGACATCGAGGCTCCTTCCACAGTTTGGCTACTATGGACATTGCTGCTATAGACTTCGAGGTGCAGGTGTCCTGGCGTTTCACTGCATCTGTATCTTTGGGGTAAATCCCCAGTAGTGCAATTGCTGGGTCGTAGGGCAGATCTATTTTTAACTCTTTGAGGAACCTCCACGCAGTTTTCCAGAGTGCATGCCACAATTTCTGCTGAAAAACCCACTGATATCCCTGTAGTGGTTCGCTTTTATTGCTTTTCTTTTCTTTTTTTTTTTTTTTCTGCTTTTAAGATTTTCCTTTTCTCTTTAATTTTTGACTTGTTATTATGTGTCTTGGTGTGAAACTCTTTGGGTTCCTTTTATTTGGGACTGTCGATGCTTCCTGGGCCTGGAGGTCTGTTTTCTTCCCCAGGTTAGGGAAGTTTTTAGGTATTCTTTCCTCAAATAAGTTCTTCACCCTTTTCTCTCTTCTTTTTCTGAGACCTCTCTAATGTGAGTTTTATTACACTTGATGCTGTTCCAGAGGTCCCTTTATCTTAATTTTTCAAATTCTTCTTTTTGCTTTTCAGATTGGATGATTTTTACTACCCTGTCTTGCAGATTGCTGATCTGTTCTTCACATCTTTTAATCTGCTGTCGATTGTGTCTGGCGTATTTTTCATTTCAGTTATTGTATTCTTCAGCCCTAATTGGTTCTTTTATATATTTTCTCTTTGTTGAAGTTCTCACTGAATCTGTCCGTTCTTCCAAGTTTGCTGAGCATCTCTGTGACCATTACTTTGAACTCTTTATCCGGTAGACTCTTCATCTCTGTTTCATTTCGTTATTTTTCTGAGGTTTTGTCTCGTGGCCTTGTTCTTTCATTTGGAACATACTCCTCTGTCTCCTCGTTTTGTCTGACTTTTCTCTGCTTGTTTCTAAAACTGTTCTTTCCAACTTTTCCCTCTTCAAAATATGTTGCTTTGAACAATGAATGTTAGTTGTAAAGTCAAGCAAGAAGAAACATTTTTTGAAGTATTGTCTGGTCATTTCTCTCATTGGAGCTGTGGTGGGGTAGGTGGGAGATGTAGGTGGCAGATGACTGTTCTTTTTCTGAGTTCAGAGCACAGGAGTCAGGCAGATGGAGATAAAAACTTAGTAGCTTTGTTACTAATACATGCTAACGGATTGGAGGATGTGGTTTGGGTGGGTATGTAGCCGCAGTGGGCTTCCCAATTCTTTATCCCAAATTAGGCACTTCCCCACACAGTTGTAAATGGAGGAAGCAAATGTTTGATGCCCATCCCACGAAGATGAGAGCAGACCTGAATTCATGTTACCATGAGCAAGCACATCTTTTCAAAAAAGAGATTTGGAATCTCATAAGCACTGCCTAGTGCCTTCTCCCCAATTCGCTCATTAGGTAAATCTCCCTTCCTGCTGTGAGGAAGGTAGAGATAAGTCCACGCGTGGGTAATGATGGTTTACCTCTAATTTCTGACTGGATTTAAATTAAAGTTAGTCATGTCTTTTGTACATACCAACTCTCATAATGATGAGAGGTTGGACAGAGCATACTAGGTGGTAAAGAGAAATCTGTTTTGTGTTTAATAATCTACAACATAGATAACTCATTTGTTGATTGACTTTGGTAAACCAAGTTTTATCTGGAGGAAAAGAATAATTCTTTCCAGGAAGAGTATCCTCCATTTCAGCCTCTTTGGTTCAACTAAAGATTTTCTCCTTCAAGTTCTGTGTCTTGTGGTTTAAAAAATTTGTGCTTATAAATGCAGTCTATTAACTGTTCCTAATAGGAGTTAAGATCATTTCCATTGCTGTATTTTTATTCATAAAACGTTAAAATTTATAATTTAAATTAGACTTCAGACTTTAGACTTTAAAATTTATAATTTAATTAGAAAGCTGTTTTGTGCCTCATGCCTAGACATTATTGAGCCACATGACAAACTTTTAGGTGTTCATTTTCAGTCAGTTATAGTTAAAAATGTAGGTATTTTTCCTGAAGATGATGAAGTAACTGGCATAAAAACCCTCGGCTCAGGAGGACCTAAAGCACATTCCTGGCCTGCAACTCTTTGGTCTTTTGACCTGAGGCAAACTGCAATCTTTCTGAGGCCTTCTTGTCTCTTATGTAAAATTAGGGACTTTGACTGAATTAGTGACTTTGATAACTTTGGGGAAAAATTTTTTTCAAAGAATAGAACTTAATTTGCTTTTTGTTTTGTTTTGGTTTTTTTGTTTTGTTTTGTTTTGTTTTGTTTGCATTAAACTGTATTATACAAAACAGAGACAAGTGGAGCTGTGTAGCTAAAAGAGAGATGAGACTACAGCTGTAGACTTTTGTCCCTCAATCCTACAGTATCCCCAATGGAACCTTAGATTTCTATGATTGGTAGTTCGGAAACAAACTGTTATGAGAAAACCCTTCGAATTAATAAGTCTTCGAATTAAAATTTGCGGATACGTTGTTTTTATGTGTATAATTTTCTTACCCTCCTATGTTTTTGATAAGTGGAAAAGTATAAATAAAATTGCAAATATGTTCTCTTTATTAATGGATTTCAAGCTATTTCTACCATCTAACTCAATTCTCACCTGGAAATAAACCAGGGTCACAGAAGCAAGTATTTAGGAAAAGAGCTTTTGGGGAAAAGATAATTACGTTCCGTTGATTGTTCCTTAAGGAAATGAAGGCAGGCACTTGAGTGAGTGAGCCACCTAGGCACCACTTAGTACCTTATTTAGACCCTATTTTGGGAATTCAATGAGAGGATACCTTTTATAAGAAAAGTCTAAGAGCATTCTAGATGGGAATATTTGTAATAATACACACTTGATCCTTGACCAACATGCAATTGAAGCTGCAGGTCTAGTTAGCCTACACATGGACTTTCCTGGCTGTTGGGTTGTACCGTATTTTCTCTTATGTTTTTCTCAATAACCTTTTTTCCTCTAGCTTATTTTATTTTAAGGATATATTATATAATACATGTAATGTACATGGACTGTGTTATTGGTAAGGCTTCCCATCACCAGTAGGCTATTAGTAATTAAATTTTGGGAGAATCAGAAATTATACAGAGTTTTGACTGCACGGGGGTAAGCGCACCTAACCACTGTATTGCTCAAAGGTCAACTGTAGTTTGAAATATTCCCAAATATTTCATAATTAAGTAGATAATGATAACTAGGTAAGTCAGGTGTTTGAAAAATTAGTCCTAATTCATAGAAAGGAAACAAAGTTACAGTTAAAATTTCTTTTCCTTGTTTCTAATTCTAGAAACTTATCAATGAGAAACTAAGTTGGAAAACTGGTGCTAGCTTCTATTTTTTCCTTTCCTCAAACAGATTTTCTGAAATCTCTGTATTCACATGAAAAGAAGTATATCAGTCATCATATAGATAACAAAATAGTTTTACTCAGTATTGCCAGCAGAATTTCCACATGACTTTTATGTAGTCCCACTTTCTTTGTTTTATGTATTTAAGAGTCTGTGCTGACAAATAGAGCATACAACATATACCTTAAGATTCTGTTTTTCTAAAAGTGCAAAAGTGGGAAGCTCATTCTGAGGAATAATTTATTAAACAGCTGATTAAACTCTCATAAAGGACACTTTTTCTGAAAATCACAGAGTATTTAAGTGTAAAATGACTCTTGTTTACACTTTTTGTAACAATAAGATCAAACAGGATCCTTCAGAAGTTCTGTATATTCTTTTATTTGACATTCCTAGTTCCGTTGGTTTCTTTACTATTTTTTATTTAAATTCAGTTAATTAGCTTATAATGTTATTCTTAGTTTCAGAGGTAGAGATTCATCAGTCTTATATAATACCCAGTGCTCATTCCATCAGGTGCCTTCCTTAATGCCCATCACCCACTTACCCCACCCAGCCTTCACCTACAGCAACCCACGATTTGTTGCCCATGATTAAGAGTATCTTATGATTTCTTTCCCTCTCTGGTTTCATCCTGTTTTATTTTT